AATAATGTATGCACCCGATGCATGAATGATAAATTTAAATTGGCGTTAGTCACAACAACGGAGATATGATCAAACATCAAACGAAAATTCATGTATACGTTATTATTACCCTATTTAACGCTAACACAAAAAAATTACCAAACAACCTCTTATATATGTATGAGTTATTAGGGACAACGCAAAAAAGAAACTTAAAATAATGCATGCACCCGATGTATGAATGATAAATTTAAATTGGTGTTAGTCGCAACAATGGAGATATGATCGAACAACGTACGAAAATTCATGGTGTACGTTATTTTAACTATAAATTATTTAGAATCTCAAGATTTATTGATGAAATTTTTAGACTTAAAAGGTTTGTTACTACAAATAAATCATATTTTTTAGAAAATTTAAAAACAAAATACATTCTTATATATCCAATTAATAGATGAACTATGAGAAAAGGAAATTCCATGAATATATAATAGCATCCATCTTTTTCTTAAAAGACAAAGGAATAAATATTTATCAATAAGAAAGGGATAAAAATCAAAGAATGCTTATTGATAACTAATTGAGTAATACTTAGTACATTAATACATGTGAATGGCCAGAGAATCTTATCATATATGTGATGAAATTTCAATAGCGTGACACTATGTGAAGTATAAAGTATATGGAATCAATAATGATTATTTATAATTTATTTAGAAAATTATAAAATAAAGAACTTCGTATAAAAAAATAAGAGGGAAATTTGTAAGATATGTAAAAGAAGGAAAAATTAACGATAGTTGAAATAAGATATTGGAAATAATGTTTTCATGTATGACGCAAACAGATATCTCAAAATACTTTTAGCATGCTAATATTTTAAAACATATAACATAAAACATGTCCTTTATATCTAAAAACATACCGGAGAGATATATGTTTTGTAAGTGACATGAATACTCACGTGGTCATGTAGGTTTATCAGACATGAACTAGATTAATACTCACACCTAGACACAGAGCATGCGTACTAATGTAACAAGTGTCTAAACATTCTTTTCAAAACTAATGCTGACACATAATGTAAACCTAGACTCATCTAAATGTCACGAACAATAGAGGTATATGCGATTTGAGCCATGCGACTCTGTCTCTAACTAACAATGGTTTCACCAAACAACTCACTCGTCACTCCTTGTTTCATATTCGCGACATATGTATCCATGAAACGTCAAATTGTATGCATGCAGCATACCAAAAGTGAACTAGTTTGACTTTCAAACCGATTGCGATCGGGGGCAGAGCTACATGAGCACCATGGGGTGCATTGGCTCCCCCTCAACTTTTTTTCTTCTTCTTAATGTATTGGCATTTAGGTCCTACTCATTTTTTTAATAATAGACCCATGTATTCAATTTCTAATGGGTTGGGCTCCTCCCAATAATTTAGGCTTTGCTTAATAACTTGACATCACAAAACTTTGGTCTCCCGTATCTCCAAATCRTAGAATATCAAGCTTTCACATTACAAAAACACACGACACATCTGCAGGAACAAGGARCACCCATCCCTCCACCTTTGCACCGAACACCATAGCTTTGTGTCTGGTGGACCTACGTGTGTAAATGAGTCGAGCTTTTAACGAGTTGCTTTAACTTGCTATATGTTCTATATCTCTTCTCTTATTGATCAATGGTGTGTGGAATTACCCGATGAATGTCTCCAAATGTCAGGACGCCGGCCGACAGAAGTAGAGACAAATTGCTTGTCCTATACACAATAACTAAGGATAGAGAGATTGTGCGTTAGATGTACTCTACAGGTTGCACTCCATGGTCAATCTCGAACAAATAAAGATCACTTAACTTAACGAGTCTGTCTCCATAACGTCAATCTTCAACTTGACTCGTTCGAAAGCTTGATTAAACTTTACAAGCCGAGCGAACCATTTGAACATACATTTTTTCGAGCAAAATATATTTACATGTTTATAAATTATATAATCAAAATATAAAAATCATCTAGTTTGAGAAAAATAAACGAGTTAACTGATCTCGAATTTGAGCTCATAAACGAGCATAGAGCTCAAGCGCAAACATTGAAAAAATATTCGAGCTCGACCCCGACTTTGAAAAAGTCAATCGAGCTTGAGCCTGATATTATTTTCTCAAGGCGAACTCAAATAACCTGCTACTTGACTCCTTTACACCACTAATCCAGCCCCTTTCTACCGATGGGACCATTGTTTATGTTGTTTTCATACCAAGTATTGGAGATCAAGCAGGCGGTGAGTCTTTTGTTGGCTTAGGCTTCACAAATTGGGTGGAAAGAAAAGCAGGCGATTTAGAAATGCAACTTTTATTTTTATTCTTTTTTATATGGTTCTCCTCCTAGTACAAATTTATGGCTCTGCCCCTGAATGCGGCTATCTCAGTCGTTTCTACTACGTTTTTCATGATTCTTAGCTTTATGCCTATGATAACACTTATATCTTGCTCTTTCTATAAATAAACTTGACCATCAATTATATTTGGCTTCATAATACGCATAAAAATTTCATTTCTAACCTTTGTTTCAGTCACGACAAAGTACTGCTTCGTTCTTTGTTGAATCTACAACCTTCCAGCCTCAATCTCAATCTCAACCTTGCTAACATTCTAAACAATAAAGTAACATCATAGACTAGTAACTGTTGGGTAACTGGGCTTGTGGTTGTATAATTCTTGAATAGATTTCTAGATCGTGTATTGGAATTCAATTTCCAAATATTGTATTTTGCTCCACTAATGCGTTAAGTTATTATGAAATCAGTACTGCGATAATCTAGAAATATTATACATGAAATAAGGCATTGATTTCATGTGTGTGCATATGTGTGTGTGTGTGTATATATATATATATGTATTCATCAGATCACATTTTTTTGTTTTTATGAGAGAGATTGACGGTTACGGACACTGTTAATGGATAAGATTGAAGAGTAATTACAACTAAATCAAAATTCAAAGATCGAAATCTGACTTCCATTCAGAACTAAGTCTGGATCTACAATCCAGAGTTAAGGATTTAGTCAAATTTTACGTAAACCATAAGTCTGAAAAGAAGGTTCAAATTTCTGACTCCATTGTTTCAGAGTTAGGGATTAGTCAATTTACGCAATCTACAAGTGTGAACAGAAGGTTCAAATTTCTAAGTGCGAGTGCAATGTCAAGATTTATATACTTCTGCAATTTCAAAGTGATTATACTGTCTAGATCTCTGAATCCACTACCCTAAGTTCGACTGTTCATGGAGGTCAAAAGTACCAGGAGGTCTCAGGTTCAAATCCAAGAATGAATGAAAATCCCCTTGTGGCCACGGAGGTTCAAATGCAGTGACTCCAGGCTATCTGCAAAGTAGGTGGTCGCCATGAGATTAGCCGGCTCGCATAGCGGGTTGGATATCCAGGTTAATCAAAAAAAAAAGTTCGACTGTTCATAAATTCCAAGGGGTTCCGCCCCTTGCAGCACCGCTAGGGTTACTGCCTTTCAAACCCCGCAAGAGGGTGCGGCCCCTTTGACCCCCGCCTTATGGCGATTTAAGGTGATAAAGCAACATTTGTGAGTGTGCACTCCGTACCCCCTAACTCGGTTATATTTGTCTCACCACCTTAATCGATGTCAAATAAATCACAATTTTACACCAAATGATTGATAACACTAAAATCACCAACGATAACCCCATGATGATGCCTTTACACAAAACTCATACATGTGACTCATGATTTCATTACTTCTATTGCTTCGTTTTTTTCTGAATGGAATTTACATTTGTTATTGTAGGTACAACACCGAACCTTTTGATAATATTTAATTTTGTACCAACATAAAATAAAATAAGATGTATTATGTTTATACCCCTTTTCTACAAGGTACGTACGTGAGTGAAGAAAGGGATAAGAAATGATGTGGTACGTGAATAAAGAGCGGGTATGAATAGAAATCTCTAAAATAACTATACAACATGGATGACGTCTTTTAAATAATAATACTAATACATATTAACAAATATAAAAAATAATTTCATGCAAGCTTTGACGTGGAGGACCCGACCCTATTATTCCTGGAGGCCCATGATTGGGCTAACAGAGGGTGTCACACTTAAACGCTCATAATTTTTTGCTACGGGATTCTGTTTCAGGCACATAATATGTTGATTCGAAGCTTGAAACTAAGAGCAGCACGCCTTTGATAAAACCCAAAGGGGCCTGCGAGATTTTCAAAGGCGTAAAAACATCATTTAAACATGTTTATGGAGAGTCTTATGTTTTTTGCAATAAATCCACTTTCTATTTGAACTTTTGAGTTTTTAGGCACTTCGTACTCTTGTTTATATATTTTTAGTGTAATTTGGATGGTCATACTTTTAATACAGAGACTTCCATTTTTATCCCAAATTTGAGTTTATGTGAATTTGATTTGAAACTAAAGTCTGAATCAACGAACTTTAGAAGAAATTGTTTCTAGGTATTCACAGAATAAACATGACCAACCTTCATTTCACTTACTGTACGCTACATCATAATGTTAATAACGATTTATTAAAGTCACAATGTTTTTATACTAAAATAAAAATAGAATTGAATGTGACATGATCCAATTTTTAGTGATCGATCTATCAATCATATTCGTAGAAAAACTCGGGCTATTAATTATCTCCTAATTTGGTTTAGATTTTTATAATTAATCTATGAATGGGTGATAATCTCTGGTTAACCCTGACCTCAAATCTGCAGTAGTTGCATGCAAAAACAGCCATTCAATCTTTAATTAATCTGGGTTCCAACATTTCTAAACCTCACGTTTTTGTGAAAAAGAAAACCCCACCATAAACATGGAACGTTTGTCTCTTTTATATAGACGAATACGAGGGCAATGGGATTGTAGGAGCTCCTCAGCTCATGTAATATTCATAATTATATATTATATTACATTTACATATAATATATATAAATTTTAAAAACATAAAAAAATAAATAAATAATGGCTTTCGACGGGGGGAAGAAGAAGAAGATTACGGTAATCGGGATGGTTGTAATTCTTGTCGTCGGAGCTTTCGTGGGCACCATCGTCACCGTTAGAAGAAACAATAAGCAAGTCGAAATTAATACACAAAAGGCCGGTGGCAAGAAAACAGCCCTGATTGCCACCACGGCGGTGGTGATAATTATCTGCAAATACACCGATTTCCGGCGGATTTGCGAGGAGACCTTGCAGAGATTAGGAATCGGGAAGGTCCCAAGGGAGCTGATGACCGTAAGTTTTAGCGCAGCAGTGGAGGGTATTCAAGGCGCGATCGAAAGTTCGTATCCGGTGCGAGAAGCAGCCAAGGATCCGATGGCTGCGAAGGCGGTGGATCTATGTAAAGAGCTTCTTGACTGCTCCATTGAAGATCTGAAAAGAGCATTAGATAGATGGAGTATTTTCGATAGGTTGAGCGAAAACGTGATTAATCTTAGGGTTTGGCTTAGTGGCGCGGTGACGTACCAAGAGACTTGTCTCGATGCATTCGAGAACACTACGGGTGATTCTGGTGTCAGAATGAGGAAACTGTTGGAGTTTGCAAACAAGCTAACACGAAACAGTCTCGCAATGCTTGATGGAGTCTCGTTTATTTTGGAAAATTCGCCTCTTAGAAGTGATCCACGACGTGTGAATCCCATTCCCGGCCAACCGATTCCTAAAAATAGACCCAATCTCCTCCTGCCGATTCCTGGCCAAAGGACGAATATCCCCGGCCAACCGACCACGATTATTCCCGGCCAAGACACGATTATTCCAGGCCAAGACACGATTATTCCAGGCCAACCTAAGATTGTTCCAGGCCAAGACACGATTATTCCAGGCCAACCTAAGATTGTTCCAGGCCAACCTAAGATTATTCCCGGCCAAGACACGATTATTCCAGGCCAACCCAAGATTATTCCCGGCCAAGACACGATTATTCCAGGCCAACCCAAGATTATTCCAGGCCAACAGACCATCATTCGCGGCCAGCCAGTTCCTAATAAACCCATTGGTGGGACTATCGATTGGAAGGCAGATGTTACCGTACAACATACTTATACGAAGAAAGATGGTACCATAATTACTAAGGGAGGCAATCGAAGGATGCTTGATGACCAAGGGGGGGATTCAACTTATCATTATTCTACAAAGCTGCAGATGGTTGGAGATGAGGAACCGATTTCTAATGCGAAGCCTACGGTTATTGATGAAGATATTAAACAGTATCCTTCATGGGCCGACAGTTCACGACGCTCACTAATTGATGTGGATCCAAAAACGCTAAAGCCGAATGCAGTCGTGGCTCAAGACGGGTCGGGAAATTTTAAGACCATCACGGAGGCGGTTAATACAGCCCCGCAAAAGAAACCCGAACCATTTGTCATACTCATCAAGGCAGGTACCTACAAAGAGAACGTTATTGTTCCTAGGCATGTCGAAAATGTTGTCTTCCTCGGAGAAGGTCCGGCCAACACCAAGATCACCGGAAACAAAAATTTCGTTGACGGAGTCGGTACTTACCAAACTGCTACCGTGGGTAAGTTCATTTTCTTCAACGGTTTATCCATAATTTCTCTGAAAGAAACTACATTCCACTTCAAGAGTACTTTTCTATTTTAGAAGTTTCAATATTGATTATATTATTAAAATACTTAACATCCGAAAAAACCTTTAGATAAATTTATACAAAAAGATAATACAAACATCGACTCATTTACAACAAATTTGATTGATTTTATGGTCATAATAATTGTATATAGTGTTTATGTACAGCGGTGAATGGGGATGGGTTCATAGCTAAGGATATATGGATCGAGAACACTGCTGGACCCGAAAAGCATCAAGCCGTTGCCTTGCGTGTCTCAGCCGATATGACTATTTTCCACAACTGTGTGATGGATGGTTATCAAGACACCCTATACACTCATTCATATCGACAATTCTACCGACAATGCAACATTAGTGGAACCATCGACTTCGTCTTTGGCGACGCTGCAGCCGTCTTCCAAGATTGCAAGTTGATCGTCAAGAAACCTATGGACAACCAAGAATGCATGGTGACAGCTCAAGGGCGCAAGGATCGTCACTCAGTCGGTGGCCTGGTCCTCCAAGGCTGCACCATCACGGCTGACCCCGAGTTCTTAAACGCCAACCCAAAACCCAAATCCTTTCTCGGCCGACCATGGAAGGAGTTCTCTAGGACCGTCATCATGCAATCCTTCATTGACCAAAACATCGCCCCAGAAGGATGGTCTCCATGGACCGGGAATTTTGGCCAAAACACCTGCTACTATGCTGAATTTAACAACAAAGGTCCAGGTGCCAACACTGCTCAAAGGGTCAAATGGATGGGTGTCAAGAAAATTAATCCAAGAGATGCTGAAAGATTCACCCCTGGAAAATACATACAAGGGGATGGATGGATTCCACAGGCTGGTGTGCCTTATGATTCTGGGATGATGAAAGTCTAACATTATTTTCTTGTATATATGCTTCTTCGATCTACTTTTTTTTTCCTTGAGATAACTTCGTATTTATCAGTTTATCAAGTCTAATATATATTACTGTATAGTATTTTTCTCAGTGGTACATAATTTGGTCCTTAAATAATTAAGCTTTGTATATATTTAATTTCATGTTTTGTTTTAAAATTATATATCCTTAAATACGTCTTGAACGTTGCATGGTAACCTACAATCCAACCCGACTAAATTTATCAGGACGTTTTGCACATCGAAGAAGTACTGGTACTGTGCCGAAATATGGTATGTGATATATATATATATATATATATATATAAAGGTTTCGGATTTTAATTACGTGATGTGGTTGGTTCATTTTTTCGTCAAGAATAACATATGAATATTTCTATGTATGTTCAAGGTCTTGACTGTGACCATAGGGTTAACTTACGATTTCTAATAAAGATTACTAACCCTATTAGACAAGGGGACTTGAATGATGTAAATTTGCAAAACTTCACATCTATCACTACAAAACTGGGCCCTATCAGTGACGGATCAGGCCGTCGCTAATATGTTGCAAATACTCATTTCTGTCATTGATAGTTCATCGGCCAAATAGTGGTGGGCGATGATTCAGCAACAAATCAGCAATGGCCAAAATTAGCAATGGATTAATGACGGGAAGAATAAGCGACGAATTAGCGAGGGTCATTTAGCAACAAATGTCAAACGGCCCCACCAACTTCTAGCGACGTATTTTTGTCGTCAATCTGTCGCTAATTTTTTGGTAATATTTTTTTTAAAAAAAATAAATTAAAGTTATGTATTTCCTATATATTTTATACAAAATTTGTCCATAAATTCGAAATAACAAACTGAGACTGCAAACAAATTTAAAATAACCAATTCATACAATTTAAAATACCAAAAATAATGTCCAGGGGTAACAGTCTAACTAGGGGGAGTGCAGGGAGGGGTAGGGAGGAGAGTGTATACATGCTCCTACATAAAAGCATCAAACTGATGTGATAGCATGACCTGTTGATCAGCCAATTGCCCTACTCTTCCATTCAGCCTCCAACTAGGCTAGATAGTGTTCCTCCTGCAGCTTCGCCTTCTCTTCTATTCTTTCCATTTTCTATTTCAACTCAGCTACCTATAAATATTCAATATTTGACAAAAATCATTAATTTGTTGGCAATGAAAATTAAAGAGATGATACATAACAATAAAACCAACATACATCTGTTGTCGATCCAATAATGGATGATCTTTAAGTGTTGCTACTACAATCACCGATCATATCATAATGAGGATCCTAGAAGGTCCCGAACCTAAAAAGACGGTCCTTCCTTCGTTCTACAACACGCTGCTTCTAAAGAGGTGCACCAGTAGGAGGTATGATGACGGGCTCTACACTAGACTAGGTTGCATCCCTAAGTTCTCGAAACCGCTCCTATGCATGGTCTATCAAAACAAAAACGGGAAAGCTTATATCTGTAAACATTTCAGCAGCATAACGTTTGTAAATCAAACATATCCAATGTCTGCTTTTAACAATTATAATATTCTAATTACCAATATTAGTCATATTGCCAACCAACCTATCTACTTAGCCTAATATACGCCTAACAATAGCAGCCCAAACTAATAGCATCTTTATGTTTATTAAAATATATTACTTTCAGTCTACTAAAGTATCCAATCCTTGTATCTATTGTGCATACAGACCATGCATCATAAACCTCTACCTCTTGCCTCAAATCTCACTGAAACTTACCCTCGATCCATACACAAGATTTATACAAGGTAAAGACAATAATATTAGGTATAATTACTTTAAAAGTGATTCACGTACCAACCCTTAAGAGCTCGAACATGTACTCGCGGTCAACCTAAGGAACATCTACGAATTGATTAGTGGTTTATTCTTCCCATGTCATGCCATCGTGTGAGTCATGGCACAGACCTTTGAGGCGGCTGAGGTGAGGTGGAACAATGAGGACTTCACACCCTTTAGAGAACACCACCCTCCCTAGATGCCAAAGTCGTATTGGCTCAACATGATTGATCAAGTTTTTATTATTATTGTGAACTTTATGCTTTACCTTTGTTTCATATCAACTTATGTGTTCTGTTTTTAATAAGTGTGAGATACTAACCATTGGAGATCCTAGTCTAGGGATCGTAAGGCCAATCGGGAGACCCAATTTATTGGGGTGTCGTCCCATCACACTAGGGATCAATCAGTACTATACAACATTGACGCCAAATGGTAAGTCTACATATTTTTGAATATGTAATTAGAGTTGTATGTTTACTAACAACTTAACTTAATTGTATATTCTAGAGAGAGGCATGGGGTCGTGAGTCGAGTTCTTATGAGATGTTTTAATGGATCCACTGCTCGAATTGGAAGGTGATTCATTGTTCGTCTGACCCACCTACTGATCCTCCAATCCTTGACGAGAGCGGCGGTAAGTTTTCACCATTTTAATGTACCTTTCATTATGATCTATTATCGGATTAGAAGATTGACCCACATCTTGAGATGCATGGGGAAAATCTGAAAAATCGTTCATTGATCTGACATAATCCCTACTAAGGCACCCTCGACTATCATTACATCATCTATCTGTCGACGTATTCAATAACTACAACAAAGAAAGAAGTACTTCGTCGATATATTCAAGGTAGAGGTGGTGTGGAGAAGTTTGAGACCCTACAAGCAATTGTTTGACTATTTGAAAGTCAAACAATAAGTGTGAATGAAGTTAGAGATCTTTTGGATGACAATTAAATTCTGCATGTAATGGTTTAGCTATTTGGAAGTCAAACCGTAGGTTTAGAGGAGTTTTGTATGACTTTAAAACTCTAAATGCAATGGTTTGACTATTTGGAAGTCAAACTATAGATGTGAATAAAGTTAGAGGTCTTTTGAATGACTTGAAAACCCTACTTGCAATCGTTTGGCTATTTGAAAGTCAACCTCTAAGTTTAGAGAAGTTTTGGATAACATTAAAACTCTAAGTGTAATCATTTGACTATTTGAAGATCAAACCGTAGGTTTAAAGAAGTATTGGTAGACTTTAAAACTCCAATTTATAACACCTCAATCTTTTAAATGTTTATATGATGGAAAATTACATTAAGTTTTGATGTTTTAATGCCAAAATTCAAGTATGTTGACTAGAGTAAGGCTTTGGTAGAATACCATGCAAGAAAAGCCAAAAAAAAGGTCCAAATCAGGCAAACAATGGTTGCAGCAACCTGGCTCATGGCCCAAGCCGCGGCTGAAATCTTGTAGTCCACTGTAAAGTTGATTCAAGGAAATGTAAAGACTCCATCTTGGCATGCGACCTAGACTGCGAGAGAAACATCATAAGAATCTAGTTTTTGTGGCACAGGTGACTAGCGTCGTGATTTAAGTAGCGGGCATGGTCGTAGGAAACCTCCAGTTCGGTTTAAAACCCATTTTTATAGGGTTTCTTCTCATCACTCTATCTTTATTTACTCCTCACTAAATCCGACCCTCATAGCACTTAAGATAATATTTGATGATCTTTGGAGTCATTCAAAACTAAGCATTGTGAGTTCATTATAACTTCTACTTCCCATCTCCACCATTTTCCTTGGATTTAGGTTTTCCTCAAAATCATTGTGAGTTCATTCTAACTTTTACCAACCTTTATACAAGTCAAAATATTGTGATTTAGTCTCCTAAACATTCCCTTTAACATATTTTACTTTATATGTAGATTTGAGCCATTTTGGGTGTTTTGGAGATTTGGAGGTTTTTACTCTTTTTACATATATGGATATTTGATCATTTGATTTTATGCAAAAGTGGGTTATTGTCCTAAATGTGATATTTTAAAATATGAAGCTCACGATTTGAGCGTATGTGTGATATTGAAAGATTAATGAACTACTATGTTATATTTTGAGAAGGAACATTATCAACACTTGAAAGATGAAATCTTCTTTCGATATTTGGAACTATAAAACCATATGGATTTTAATACTTTGTTTCGACTATTAATTGAAGCTATGAGCTTGGAACCTTTTTGGTTAAATTTTGTATTTAAGGATTAAATGATGATATTATGTGATGGGAACTCTGAGTTTAATCATAGTTATTGGCTTTAAAGCAACTGTATGCTTAAATTATAATGCAATTGATCCATAGTCATAAAAATCGATTTTCATGTGTAATATGGGATAGTTATTTCAATGTAATAGCAAGATACACATAATGGATCGTCAGATGACTCAAACTATAGGTCGTGGGTGTTTGAACTTGATGATCATGTGTCCCATAATGATATGATTCTAGCGAATGAGCAATTCTTAGACGTTGGAGGACTCGACCTACAGATGGAGGATGGGTTAACTTGATAACCAATGTTCTATAACATAAGCTCTATAATATAGATTCGTGTCCTACTTTAGTGTTCCACCATAATAAATGGAAATCCGGTCTCCCCCATCGTCGACGTGCAATTGATTGTATTGTCTTATTGTTGAATTTGCTTGAACTTTCATTGGTTTAAACCTCATATCATTGATTTGTATAATTCCCAACTTTATCTATAAATCTGTTTGACCTCACTGGGTGTTACGTCTAATATTTTTCTTAAATGACTTGTATATCAGGTTCTCTTAATGGTAGGGATGCGAAGACTTGAGCGGAGTGATTGAATGTCAGTAGAGACACTTTTGGGATTTATGGCTTTTGTCAATTGGCGTTATACTTTGACATGATTCTTTTAAAGATGATAGTGGCACTCATTCATAATGTGAACTTAGAATAGTTTAGATTAGTAGGTTGTCATTTATCATTTATATCTTTTGGTTGTAAATGGTATAAAATTACTCCTATTTTAGGAATGTTACAAGTTGGTATCAGTGCTCTAATTTAAGTGAACTAGGTATAAACTTAGGTTGGCTAGACTTAAGTTGAGACTTTAAGTAATGATTTGTGAGATGTTGGCAGAACTCTTAAG